AGGAAGCACACTCTCCTGAAATCTCAAGGAAACGACGCAGTGTCACTGACTATAATCACGGTGCTGTAAGTTAGATCCCCAGAATTCACTCCTCTTGCAGGAATGAACCTTTGTGCCCCCTGACCAACATCTCCCATTCCTCTCCCATCACAACCCCTCACCCAGCTTCTGTGAGTTTGACTTTATTAGATTTCACATATAAGTGAAATACATGTATTTGTCCTTTTGGATCTGGTTTATTTCATTGACACAAGGCCAGCTAGGCTCAGCCATGCTGTCACAAATGGCAGGACTTCCCTCCTTGTGAGCTGCACAGTATTCCACGTGCACACGCCTCCGCCCCTCGTTCAGTGACGGCTGCTCTGGTTGCCTTCTAGCTTGGCGACTGTGAGTCTCTCTGAGATCCTGCTTTCAACTCTTCTGGATACATATCCAGAAGGGGGGATGGCTGGATCATATGGCAATTCTGTTTTTAACTTTGTGAAGCTCTCCGTTGTCTTCCGTAACGACTGTACTAGTCTACATTCCCACCAAGGGTGCAACGTTCCCTCCTCTCTGCACCCTCACCGACACTAGCTATCTCTTGGGGTTTTGACAACAGCCCTCCTAACGGGCATGATGTGGTATCTCTTGTGGTTTCGATTCGCATCTCCCTGATAGTTGGTGGTGACTTCTAGCTCTTTGTCTTGCCTACAAATCTTCCTGGGAAAACACCAGGAGCCACTGACATGGCAGACAGAAACACAACGTAACACGAGACCGGCAGCACCTGAGCTCCAGGCGGGCTCTGCAGCGCGCGCTGCATCAGCCTGGGTGAACGCGCCCAGGGGTGTGACCCTGCTGAGCCGCACGGGGGGCCACACCTACTGCCTTCCCCACCTAGGCCATCCGTCTGGGTCTGGGCTGGCGTTACCAGCAGGGTGGATATGGGGACACAGCTGGCTTATAGTTGAATGCACAAAGCACTCTAATCTCACTTTCCTCATCCTAAAAGGGGAAACTGGACTGGATCAGAGACTTTCACCTTTGAGGAACAGGTACTTCCTACTCCTTGGAAGCTTTGAGCTCAATGGGTGATGGCAGAGGAGGCGCTAACAGTGCCTTCTTTGGCTTTTTGGAGGTTTCTGAGATTTCTGGCATGGGGATTCTGAGTGACCTAAGGAAAGGTTTTAACACAGACTGTGTGGGCTTCCTGATAAGGGATGCTATCAAATTCAAACTGCAAGAGGAGTGACAGAGAAGGGGGAATTAGGGGAATAGGGTGAGCAAGAGGAGGAAGAAATATCTAGGCTCGAAGTCTACCTCCCATTTCCAGATCTCTCAGCAGGCTGGAGTATTCCGTACTGCAGGTGCCTCAGGACGTGGCGCCAGCAGCTGAAACCCTGCCAGCTTTACCCCTGAAATGGAGCTGCTCTAATTATATTCCCTACTCTCTTTCTCTCTTTTCATGAACAAGCTCTACACAAATGATTCTCCAACTTTCATCCTTACTGGCTCCTAAAATTTCTAGGCTATCATTTCCCCACAAACTTTCCATTTACTTCTTTGTGAAGAATGAACAGCACGTATAGTGATATATCCCACCCACACACCCCCGTCCCATGCACACGCTCTGTGTGCTGCTGCTACACAGGGGCGAGTTGCACACACTGAGTTTCAGGCCTCTAATCTCACTTAGATTGCCACAAAAGTCAACTAACAAAGCAGCAGTTTTTAAAAATTTTAAATTTTAGTCCATTAAGAAGTGGATTTTTAATTAGGTACCAAGAGATGAACAATTTTGGAAAGAAATTCAAACATAAGTGTTTTAGAAAATGGATTTGAAACAAAACTTGACCGGTAACAGTTGCAGAGGGAGAAAACTCTCAACAGTAAACCTAAGGAGGGTCGGCTAACACCTCAGCCGCTTGGTGCGCACAGACTAACGGAGAACTCTGCTATGCCAGCCTTACATCTCAGCATTTCCACTCAAGGACAATCTCACGGTTTTTCTTTTCTATCCCAGGAAGGAAAAGTTCTTTGAAGGATAATAAGTTAACAGCCACCGAGTGAGCAGACAAGTAGCACATTTTTCATATGTGAAAGCCAAAGGTCCTTTGGGAACATTCTTAGTTCCACTTTCTACTTATCACCAGGCTTCTAAAGCAACCACTGTGAATTGCGAGAGGTATGAAAGACATTACTTTAGTATTTAAAGGAAACAAAAAGAAAGTCCACTATCTTGTGGCCACACAGGTGACGAGGGCTCTGTCAGTCTGCATGGCTGACCTGCTGCTGGGGGTGGGGTCAGCCACAGCGAGAAAACAGAAGCTTTAAGCTGCAGAGCACCTGTCTCTGATCCCACAGCAGAGCCTCCACACGCTGTCTAATCGGGGTGGACAAGCACAGAATTGCACTTGTGTTCTCAAGAACGACCTGCGTTTCTGAGCAGGTGATTTCTGCCGTGTGTCACCACCCAGTCTGTCACACGCGCACTCCAGCCCTTTCTCAACCAGAGAAGCCTCTGCACATTTCCAAATGCACCCAGTACATATGGGCCCAGCACCCCACTGGGAACCACTGGGTTACACCCTTCTGTGGCTGCCTCGGATTCCTCCCGGTTTCTACTGCGGAGGAAGCAAACTGTAGACGGCAGGTGGTTTGAGAAGGTGCTAGAGGACAGACTCACTGATGCCTGAGGAACTTACAGCACAGAGGGAGAAAAGGGGGGAACGTGACACAGAACCTCCTTGGGGTGCAGCGTTCAGAGGCCTGGGGAGGAAAGTGGGTCAGGAGTCAGTGAAAAGGAAATGAAACCCACACATCCAATAGCCCCGACATCAAATCACTGGTCTTCCTTAGAAAGGTCCTACAGAAGCTAAATTACGTTCAGTACACAAGAATTCTGCCACGAGAGTGGGGCTAGGTGCCAGAACGAGGCCTGATAAACAGTGAGCCCACAATAAATATAGGGCTCACAAATGAATGTTCTGGAAAGACTACCACGTAAAATACTCCAAACCTGCATGCTGTAGGCTTACCCTTCAGTTTTTTGAAAAATTAATAAGCCCCACTTCTCTAGCACTCTTCTTTTTCCAGAGAATTCCGCACTCCCAGGCTGAACTGATAATATTCCGTAGTCTATCAATCCAGCAGAAATAGTCTTATTCACACTGGCTCTTTGGCTTATCTATTTGTGTTCGCGAGTGATTAATTCTACCAAGAGGAGCTGTGGGTCCTTCTCTGAGGTCCAGGAAGAAAGAAGTGCACAGGGAACATGGCCAGTAAACTGGTAGTGGCAGTGGCCCCTGTGCACACTGCCACAGAAACCGCTAAAGCACCCTGCAATCTGGGCGCAGTAAGCGGACATACTAACGAGTTAATGTGATACACAGGTAAACACGTCTCCAAAACAGTGTTGTTATACTGTGCATGCTACATGCTGCCTTACATCCCGACTTTCAAATTTAACAATACATGAATCTCAGTTAAGTATCCTGCCTTACCATTCTTTAAAACAGATAATATTTAGTTTTAGGTTCATAGCAAAATTGAGCAGAAGGCACCAAGATTTTCTAAACACCTGCTGCCCCAGACACACAGCCTTCTGCACTACAACCTCCCCACCAAAGCACCGTGTCTGCTACAGTGAGAAACCTACCTGAGGCTTCATTGTCACCCACCATCCATGATTCTGGTCCCTGCTCGAAGTCCTATATTCCGTAGGTTTGGAAAAAGATTACCACCCCGTCTCCACCCTGACAGTACCATACAGGGCAGCTCCACTGCCCCATCTCCTGCCATCACTGAATACCACCCCGTCTCCACCCTGACAGTACCATATAGAGCAGCTCCACTGCCCCATCTCCTGCCATCACTGAATACCACCCCGTCTCCACCCTGACAGTACCATACAGGGCAGCTCCACTGCCCCA